CATGTTCAACTGCTGGAGCCACCCAGGCTTTCCTAACAAGCTGCTTTTCTGGAGCTACACAAGTCAACACTCAAGTTCGTATGGAAAACTGCACATGGAGGAAGAGCAAAGAGACCATGAAAGCCCTTCTCATGGTGCACTGTAAAGCCCCCATGTATAAAACAGTGCACTGCAGGCACAATAATAGATGGGCCAGTACCATGGAATAGGAAACCCTGAAACAAACCCAAGGTCTTGTGGAAACTTGGATGTGATAGAAGGTATATCTCAAGTCACTGGAGTCAAGTTTTTTGACTTGCAGTTTTTTGAAGAGTAGTGTGGGTTCAACCAGGTTGCCACTTAGAGGAAGGTAACATTGGATCTATACCTTAGATCACACACACACAAGGATTCCCATCAGAAATGTGAATGTAAGAAATGAAACTAAACAGGTTATGGGAAGAAAACTTGGGTGAGTTTCTACAAAACTGGGTGTAGGAAAGGCCTCCTCACAATGATGCAAAAGTTAGATGAAGTAAAAGGTTCATAGTGGCACAGCACAGTTACATGGTGGAGAACATCATATGTGAGACCAAAGGACAGGTGACAAACCAGGACAAGGTATTTGCAACATCCTTAACAGATAAAGGTTGATATATATTTTTAAAGATTTTATTTATTTATTTATTTATTTATTTATTTATTTATTTATTCATTCATTTATTCATGAGAGACAGAGAGAGAGAGAGAGAGAGAGAGAGAGAGAGAAGCAGAGACACAGGCAGAGGGAGAAACAGGTTCCATGCAGGAAGCCTGATGTGGGACTGGGTCCCAGGTCTCCAGGATCACACCCTGGGCTGAAGGCGGCGCTAAACCGCTCAGCCACCTGGGCTGCCCAAGGTTGATATTTCTAATTCATAAAGAATGTGCACATCAAGGAGGAAAAAAGATCAGAAACTAGATAGGAAGATGGATGAAATGACACAAGAGTATATGATGACGACCCCAGGGCATAGACAGGGATGTTCCACTTTACTTGAGTTGGGAGAGATGCAAATCAAGACCACACTGAGGTCTTGCTCACATTAGATGAGCAGAAATCCAAACTTGAACAGCATACTCTGTGGACAAGGCTATAGGCAAGCGATATGTCCACACGTTGCTGGTGAAGGTGCCAAATGTCAGCCATCATAGAGGAAAATCTGGCTATACCCAGCAAAACTATATTTGGTGATCCCACTCCCCTAGGAGTCTACCCTGAAGGTGTAACCACCACCAATAGTAAAGTACATATGTGCATGACTATTCATTGAAGGACAGTTTAGAATTGCACAGCTGGAGACTGAACACTTGTGTATGGATACTGATTAATTGAGCCATGGTAAATTTACCTGTGGGTCCCCGTGAAGCTGTGGGAAAGAATAAGAGGATGCCTGTAAAGTGACGGACGATTTTCCAGGATGCATTGTTGGCTTGAAGGAGCATGGTGCCAAAGAATGTGTGCAGTGCTGCATTCTGTATAGGGAAGAGGGGAAAGAAGTAGCCACACATCTGCTTGTTTTTGCTAGAAGAAGCTCAGAGAGAATAAACCAGAAACTAGTGAAGTTGGCTACCTACGTGAGGTTGGGTAGGTGGGAATGAGGTAGGAGTGTTAGGAGGAATAGAATGCTTGAGCAGTCTTAACTTTTGTACTCCTGTTACTGTCTTACATCTTCAACAAAGTTCAGCCAAGATGCTGGGGACGAGGGTCCCTGCAACTTGAAGCTCATAGACAACAACAAACAGCCACATTTATGGAGGAACAAGAACACTTTTCTTCATGGTGATAAGAAACCCACAAAACTCACCATTTTAACCATCTTAAAGTGAATAATTCAGTGCCACTTAGTACATTTGCAATGTGCAATCCTCACCACCATCTAGTTCCAGAACATTCTCAGTGTCCCCAAAGGAGAACTCATACCCATTAAGCATTCCCCATTCTTTTCCAACAGGAGCCCTGGGCCACTACTAATCTACTTTCTGTCTCTGGATTTGCCTGTTCTGGACATTCCATGTAAATAGAATCCTACAATATGTGGTTACAAAGAGCTTGTGACTTCCCTCGTGTGCCTTCTTGCTCACTCGCCCCAGGGAAGCCAGCTGCCATGTGAGCTGCCTGCGCAGGGGCCCCCATGACAAAGAACTCAGAGAGGCCTTTTTCTGATGGCCAGTGAGAACTGAGGCCCTCTGCCCAGTTGCCTTTGAGGAATGAGTCCTTCCAATAGCTACCTGTGAGCTTGGAAATGGACTGTCCCCCAGATAAGCCTTCTGATGAAACCACAGCCCTGGCAGACACCTTGACTGTGGCTTAGTGAGGGACAGTGAGTCAGAGGCACAGGGCTATTCCTGAGAATACCAGAGACTGAGAATACCCCTCAGAGACTGTGACATGAAGCTGCTTAATTTATTGTTTTAAACTGCTAAATTTTGTGTTCATTTGTTATGCAGAAATAGAAAACAAATACAATTTTCTGCCTTTTAGATTTGGGAGGCAGCATAGGTCATATTTAATACGACCACCATCCATTTATTGGAAGTCTGTTGGTTTTCAGTGAGGCCATAAGACAAAGAAAGACTCTGTAGCAGATCAGTATGTGGCATAAGCTGTCCTGGATTTGGGCCATATAACTTGGAAGGTCTAATAGAGCTAGAGAGGTACATCCATGGTAGATGAGACTGTGGTCCCTGGCACCATCCCCCAGAATTTGGTGCAAAGCCATGCTCTCTGCTGCAGAGAATTACATACCATGCTAAGAAGCTCCTGACGTGCTACCTGGCCTTAGAAATTGAACACATGGCCATGGATATTGTGCTAGCAGGTGACTGGAGCTGTTCATCAGGAACTGGACATTTTCAGATCCATGAAGTTACAACATTGGGTGAGTGTGCCAGCAATCCATTGTACAGTGAAAGTGCTATCTTTTTCTTGGTTTTCTATCACGTTGTGTTGTCTCCTTGTGCACATAGCTGTTTCCTATTGAGTGCTGGACATAATATGTGAGCATTTATAGTTTGGCCCACAGGATATTATTCTTCTAGGAAGAGTTTACCCTTTTTGAGCAGGCTAGCAGCACCAACAATAAACCCTGAATCACTTGAATGCAGTTTCAGAAATTGAGATGAATTTAATACGGATTTTATGAAGTCTCTGCGAAGCTGATTTACTCTGGTTCATATTCACTCCGTGTAGCTGTTCAGGGTCTCAGCTCAGAGATGGGACATTTTCCAAGAAGCCTCCTCCTTAGCAGCCCTAGCCCACCAAGCTGTCAATCTCTGTTCAGGTTCTTAGCCTTCCTGCTACCTCTTCCAGAACCGACTGACCCCGGAGTGGAAAATATTGCTAAATATCATGTGTACTACTCTGACTTTCCTTTTAACCTGTAAGAATATTTCACTGTAAAATTAGCACTCTGATGGCATTAAACAGAATTAGTATTTTTTAAAGTTTTTATTTATTTTTAAGTAATCTCTACATCCAATGTGGGGCTCAAATTCATGACTGCGAGATCAAGAGTCATGTGCTCCAGGGATCCCTGGGTGGCGCAGCGGTTTAGCGCCTGCGTTTGGCCCAGGGCGCGATCCTGGAGACCCAGGATCCAGTCCCACGTTGGGCTCCCGGTGCATGGAGCTGCTTGTGTCTCTGCCTCTCTCTCTACCATAAATAAATAAAATTAAAAATTAAAAAAAAGAGTCACATGCTCCACTTGACTGAGCCAACCAGGCACCCCTATAACAGAATTTTTTAAAAAAGATTGTATTAAAAAAAAAGAATTTTATTTTTATTTGAGAGAGAGAGAGAGAGAGAGAGTGCACGTGCTGGGAGGAGGGGCAGAGGGGGAGGGAGAAGCAGACTCCCGGCTGAGCAGGGAGTAGAACCTGGGGTTCAATCCTGGGACTTCCAGATCCCGACCTGGGCCATCCAGGCTCCCCATAACAGTTATTTTTAAACGATTATATTTTGGCTAGCTTTTTTTTTTTTTTTTTTTTTTTGCTATTCTTAATGGGAGGCTGACTTGAATGACCCATCCCTCCGTTATCAGAGCTTTTTTTTTTTTTTTTAAAGATTTTACTTATTCATGACAGAGAGAGAGAGAGAGAGAGAGAGAGAGAGAGAGGCAGAGACACAGGCAGAGGGAAGGAGAAGCAGGCCCCATGCAGGGAGCCTGATGTGGGACTCGATCCCGGGTCTCCAGCATCACGTCCTGGGCTGAAGGCGGCGCCAAACCGCCGAGTCATCCGGGCTGCCAGAGCTCTTTTCTTAAAAGGCAAAACTAAATAACGTATTATACATTTATATATTTTTACATGGCATTATGTGCTATTTAAGCTTATAGGATGAAGTCTTCTCCGTGGGGCCACGAGGCCTCGGGGCAGTTTGAAAGCAGGACAGTTTCTCCCGAGGTCAGCAAGGCTGGACATGCTCAAACCAGTGCGCGCTGGGTGGGCGGGGAGTGACCGCAGCGGAGCCGCACCCGCACCCGCACCCGCACCCGGGTGAGGACGGGAAGGGACCCGAGCGGCACCCGCATCTGCACCAACGGGAGCGCGGGGAGTGACCAGAGCTGCGCCTGCGTACGCGGGGGCTACCCTCGCACCTAGAAGCAGGGGAGGCGCTGCGGAGCTGCACCTGCTCCCGGTGCGGCGCTCGGGTGGCCAGACCCCCAGTTGCTCCGAGGCAGCGGCAGTCACCCCACTCGTGCCGCCCGGGCGACCCCTAGGCAGACGACCGCATTCCCGAGGCTCCGCCTGTGCGGCGTGCAAACAGGGTGCACAGTCTTACAGTCCCGGCAGCTCGCACGTGGGAGGTTGCTAGGCAACCCGCGGCTCCCGGCAACCCGCGGCGCCCAGGGATGACGCTTGCAGTCCGCGTCCGTAGCCGGACCTGCCCCCTCGCGGCCGCCGCACGCCATTGGCCGGCAGGCAGACGGAGGTGGGCCTCGGCCAGGGACGGGCGGGGCGACGCCGCTGGCGGGGCGGGACCGTGTCACCAGGGCGGGGCGCCTGCCGGAAGCCCGCGTTGGCGGCCAAGCGCAGGTAGGAGGAGGACCCGGGGTCGGGGGCGGGGGGCGCGGGGCGCGGGGCGGCTCCCACGTGGGTGAGGGAGCGGGACGGTCGAGGGGGGCCCCGCGGGGTGCGAGGCGCCCGCTGCCCCGGGCTGTTCCCGCCGAGCCCGGCATTCTCGTCACCACACACCGTCGTTGACTCAGGCGCTCGGTGGGGTCCCGCGCGTCCGCCCGCCCCGGGCCCCGGGGAACGTCGGCGGCCCGGGGCGCTTGCGTGCTGAAGGGGCGGCGGGCGCCTGCGGGACAGTGAGGGAGCAGGGCGCGGCGGACACCCGGGTGGAGCGCCTCGGGCCGGAGGGGTGGGGGAGGGGAGGGGAGGGGAGGGGGGAGCCACGTGCGCCCGCAGCCTGCCTCCCGTCGCGGGCTTGTCCCCGAGCGAGCGAGCGAGCGAGCGAGCGAACCGGAAGCCTTGGGAGGGCGTCCGGCACCGCCGAGCCCTGCAGCGTGGGCCGGGGGCTCCTGAGAGACGCGGAGGGGAGGCCCGCCGACGGGAGGACACGCGGCCCGAGGACCCTGAGCAGGCCTTGTGCTGGAGGCGACGAGGCCGCGGACCAGCGCACCTCGGGGCCAGCGCCAGAGCGGCCCTACACGCGGCCCTACACGCGGCCAGGTGGGCTCCCTTCGCCAAAGGACCAGGCGCGCACAGCGCACGGAGTGTCGGGAGGCCACCAGGGAGCACGAAAAGCCGCCTCTGGAGTCCGTCTCGGAGCCAAGATAAGAAATCGTGTGGAGAGAGAAGCGAGCGTGGGCCGTCAGGTGCTGCAGCGCGCAGCTGCGGCAGGACGTGCCGCCCGGAGAACCTGCGGTGGGACTTCCTGTCTGCGAGGACTGAGCCGACTGCAGTGGCTGGTGACCAGTGATGACCCGCTGTAGGGATAAGAGGTGGGGGAGCTGAGCTCACCTTGGGTTTGCCCTCAGTGACTGAGGGAATAGGGACGGGAAGGAGGGGTGACACCCGGCAGGCTCAGGACAACGCCGGTTCAGGGGGTCAGTCCATTGACCCCATCTAGGTTTGCTGACCGGCTGTCCCCTTCCCCAGGGCTGCCTGCTTGGGCCCCAGCTTCTGGTGTTGGCTGGATTCTTTGGCAGCTTTGACTGCTTAGGCAGGCACTTTTTCAGGGGGCCGGGGTAATTGTAGGGATGGGGCCTTGAGGTGTTAGAAACTATACTGATGTTTTGTTCAGGTCTTGGTGGGTCCAGATTGAGGACCAGCAGAGAGAGGAGCCTGGCTAGAGTGTGGTCAGGCGGAGCTGTTGTCCTTAGGGTGGCGCCCTTGGTGATCCTGACAACAGTTGTGCTGGAGCGGCAGAGGCAGGAGGGGACAGGAGGAAAGGCGCTTGCAGGCCAGTGCAGGGAGGTAGGTGAACAGCGTGAGATCAAGAGAGCTTCTACAACGTGGGAAATTGTAGTTGATTGAGTAGAAGAGAGCCTGGAAGTGTGTGCAAGGGGGATTACTCAGTGCTGTCCCAGCGCGCTAGAGGAGGGTTTGGCCTTGTTGGGATCGTGGCAGAACTCCATCACAACAGGAGAGAAGGGTAAGGGGTAGATGTGAGAGCTTGTGGAAATCCCTTGCGGTTGCTTTGATTTCCTTTAGGATCAGGAATTCAGGTCCTGTGAGACAAGGGGAAGACCTTGGAGGTTTGAAAGAGGAGAGGCTGGTCCAGGCAAGTGGCTGGGGTGGGGAAATGTGGTGGGGACTGCCAGCGAGGCTGAAGGATTATTGGACCCCCATAATGCTGGGGGTTGGGGTGAGCTGGAAAGATGGGAGGTGGGTATGGTGAATGAGATTTTTGCAGCTTTTGCAGTAATAACCAGGCTTCAAGTTTGGCCTTTGGAGGGAGGGGGAAAGGAGGGCAAGGTACCAAGAGAGCAAAACCTAGAGGCCATTTTTGAGTGGGCAAGTCAGAACACACACCAGTCTTGGATCAGAATGAATAGGAGCAAAGTCCCAGTTTTGGTGCAGGAGCTGGGATTCCGCTCCTGGCCTCTGTGCACTGATTTCCTCAAGGGTTGTGTATTGTGAGGGCGCATACTCTCCTCCAGGGGCTCTTGGCCCAATGAGTTGGGAGGTGCCCTTCTCTGCAGCCTGACAGGACACATCAGAGGTGTCATGCGCTGAGTAAGAGGGGGCATTGGGAGCTGGCTACAGGTAGGAAGTTCAGATTTAAGACTATTTTCCTTTAGGATGATTTATTTATTTATTTATTTATTTATTTTTTTTATTTTTTTAAATTTTTATTTATTTATGATAGTCACAGAGAGAGAGAGAGAGAGAGAGAGAGGCAGAGACACAGGCAGAGGGAGAAGCAGGCTCCATGCACCGGGAGCCCGACGTGGGATTCGATCCTGGGTCTCCAGGATCGCGCCCTGGGCCAAAGGCAGGCGCCAAACCGCTGCGCCACCCAGGGATCCCCTGATTTATTTATTTTTTTATGATCCTATGGGGTTTCTTTTCAGCCCTGGAGACCCGGCAGCCTCAGCCTCAGCCTATTGGTGCTGACTCGTCCTGATCAGTGACTGTAGCCTCACCTATACAGTAGTTAGCTGGTCTCTGTGTCTGATGTGGGTCCTTGGCTTTCTGGTGGTGGAAGTGTTTGTTTGCTCCACTGAACACTTTTGAGCTGGTATCTTCAAGTGTTGTGTTTCTGCTTTTGTTGTAGAAATTACAGAAAAGTAGAAGGAGGGGGAACCATGCTTGTAATTCTAACTCCCTAAAATGTTAATATTGTAATGTATTTTCTTCTAGTTTTTTCTTTCTTTTTTTTTCCATATCATTATTTTTAATGTCCAATGTTTATAATATGAGAGCCGGGGCTTTCTCCTCAACTCAAGTTTATAAATTTTCAATTGGCTTATGAGGCCAATAGGGATACTTCTTCTTGTCTAATTTGGTTTCTGGGAAGACTTCATTCAGGTCCTCAATGGTCATCTGATCAAATGGAATTATGTTCTTTATCTTCTCCAGCTCCTTTTCATATTCTTCAATCCTGGCCTTTGAGAGGGACAAAAACTCAGCACAGCTTTTCACACCTTCTTTTTCCTCAGCATCCATCTGGACAGTGTGTTTATCCTCTGGCACAGGAACCTTCAGGGCATTAAACTTCTTCTCAAAGTCATCTACCAAGCCAGTCTTTGCCACATTGGCCTTGTAGTAAGCCCAGTCGATAGCAGGTGGTTTCTCAGGAAGAGTAGCCAACCTGGAGGTAAGCATCTCATTCCAGGACTTCAGGGAGTTGGCAGTGGCCTTCTGGTTTCGGGGTATGATCTCCCCAAAAGCTACCCAGTCAATGGTTTTTAGAACAAGTTTTCGCCCAGCCATCTTGAGATCCTTCACCGACCCCGGTGGCCCACAGTCCACAGCCTCTTCTAGTTTTTTCTTCATGCATATTTGTATACATTTTTTCTTACAAATTGAGGATCATATTGCACATACCTAAGTTTACACCACATCTTTTCCCTTTATATTGTACTCTGAGCTCTTACTCCTGACTGAACGTTTTGTGTGCTCTCAAGGCAGGCGTGCTCCTGTGCACCAGTGAGTCATTCATTTTCCCATTCAGCTACTGTTGGACAGTTACGGGGTTCAACTTTTTAATTGAAGAAGCATTGTCATCCATTGTACATTCTTACATAATTCCACTTCCAGGAGCTTATCCTGATGAATAATCATGGACAGAGATTCATATGAATCTCTGTAGCACATTCATATGAATCTCTGTCCATGATTATTTCAACAGGATAAGCTCCTGGAAGTGGAATTACAGGCCAAAGCACTTGATAAGTGTTATAAAATTACCTTTTAGAAAGATTGTGCCAATTTATTCTCCTGTCAGCAGGCATGATAATGGCCTTTTCATCATTCTCTGGCTAACCCTGAATAATAAAATTTTAAAAATCGTTTATGTAAAAAAAATGGCATTTTTAACCTATCAAATTAGCTAAGTAATGTATGCATAGACCTAAACCCCTCCAGCGGTAGCAGAAGACAAAAGAGAACAGCCAGTGGCCATCAGCTGCCCCTGGCCCACTCCTCAGAGGCAAGCATTGTCATTCTTCAGCTTTTCAGCTTTTCGAACTGGGATCACTTGGAGACTTCCAGAGCATAGTGTGTGACTCGGCTTTATCAGTTCTAGGCATCCCCTGTTAGTCGGCCCTGGTTTCCTCACCTGTGTGCCACCCTCACCGGCCACGGGAGGAACGGAGTTCACATGTATACAGCATCTAGAACAGGGCCTGGCACATTGTAAGCTCTGGGTAAGTCAATTTTCACTGTCATCATTGTTCTGATTAGCTTTCCTAACACCCCAGTCCCCTCCCCATGACCTTCCTCCTGGCCACCAAATATGGGGAGAACATATGCTGGCATAGCTTTATGAGTGACTAGATGTTTTACAGAAAGGCCGGGGAGGAAAAAAAAAACACAGAACGGAGGGGTCTTGTTCCTTCTGAGGTAATGGTGCCAGGCCCACTTAACTGCCCCTGGCCCGCAGGGGAAGGCCGAGAGGCTCCCCCAAGGCTGCTTTCTTCAGCACCCTCCTTAGCAGGTATATTCCTCCCTTTGTTTCCTTGGCATTCTTCTGAGGATACTGAGGAACATTTGTTGGCTCTGGGTGTGCCAGATGCATAGACATGCTCACACCACCCCATAGCTACTCTGAAATAGCGTCACCACTAAGGGGAAAAAAAGAGAAAGAAGTAAAACCAATACAGGGGCATCATATTGTTAAATTTATAACAAAGAGTTTGAGAGAGATTAGAAGGCTTTTTTTCTTTCTCTGCATGTTTCAGTGTATTTACATTGTTATGTGAACATCACTACATCCTAATTTCAGAACATTTTCCCTCTCCCAGAAGCAACCCTGTACCTATTCACTCTTGGCCCCTGCCCTCTGTGCCAGCCCTGAGCAAACACCACGCTACGTTCCTTCTCTGTAATTACTCACTCTGGAAATTTCATACAAATGAAATTAT